CCAATTGTAATTCTGATTCAGCAGCAGGAAAATAAAATAGAAAAGCTGCAAAAAGTCAGTAGCTTTTGATTGCATAGATCAACAAAACAGGGAGAAAATCAGTTTCTTCTCAATTTTTCACTGAGGTTTGGTGAATGAGGAGAGAGGTGAGGAAAACTTGACAATATTTAGCATGCATTGATGCTAATTCATAGTGCTTTATGGGGCTTTTTAATTGACTTTTTAGAAATGCGTATTAGTTATGTGTCAGACCGTTAGTCTTTAAAGTTGTAGAATTGAAATTACGCCAGGCAAAGTTGCATCTCTATTGAATTTTCTTATTTTCTAGTATGAGAAGTAAACCATTTTTCATATTGTTATTTTAATATTTTTCTATAATATTAATGCCTAGAAGATAATTCCAGATATAATAATGTTTTCTTTAAATGCTACTGTGTGACTGCTTATGCCAGTAACTCTTTTCTCACTGAGAGGGAAAGAAGAGATATTTTTGTTCAGCTGAAGTAAAATGTGATGGGTTGTCCAAAAGTACAAAAAGATACCTTTCTGGATAAAATATGCAGATCAACATGAATGAGACCATTGTGGAAACAGAGTTTTATCTTACATGACTATAACTAATTTTTTCTATTTACTGCTACCTTCTGCTTTAAAACAAGTACAATGGAAAGTTTATCCTTGCCTCTACAACAAAGAGGAGAAATATCTCTCTAGAGAGCTATAAAAATGAACTACACTTGTTCTATGTTTGAAGTAGTTCTTAGTATTCTTTTCTGCATATTTTGTAGTATTTGTGTGAAATGCTGAAGAGGAAAAGACTTTTCATTGATCATCTTTATTATAATAAGAAAGCACAGCAATGTTTAAAAATTCATTCTGTTCATACAGATGTGTGTGGACATATTCCCTTTCTTAAAGGATTAGTAACTCTCCTGAACCATGCATATGCATGACATACCTATTTTTGAAATTTTATTCGAAATAATTCTGTATATCTTATCCAACCATCTGCATTCTGTTGGTCTGCCTGCTGAACCAGATATTTATTTCTTGGCCTAAAAAAAGTGTGGGGGTTCAAGCAATCTACAGTTTAATAAATCACTAGTTTTCTACTTGGTTCTTGAAATTATTTTTACAGTCAATTTTTTGCCTTTCTTTGGTTGGAGCTGCATGTTGTCAACAACCTTTGAAGTAAAAGGTACCTATAAAATCACCTGTTATTTAGTATTAATGAAAGATGGTAATTCTAGAAAAGAACTGAACTGAAGGTAGATAGGGGTTTTTTTAGCAATTTATATGCAGCATACTGTTACATAATGTAATGAGGAAATATTTTGGATGTTAACTGTTTACCAAAAAAAAAAGAATATTGATAAGTATACATTAAAACAAATTATATAATCTGACCTGCTGTTGAAGGGAAATTACAGTGATAGAAGCCTGACAGTGATTTAACATGGAGAATATTTAGCCATGTGTAAAATGAAAAAACCTGGGCCTCTTCCTGATTCCAGATGCATTCTGGTGAGCATTTATCCTTCTGCTGAACCAAGGTGCTTACAAGTTGTTGGTATATTTGGGATTGGAAACTCCTTGGACAAGTTTGTTCCCTGTAACAATATCAAATCCATTGTGTGTGTTAATTTAATGTAAAAACCAAGTCAGACAATAAAAGTATCAAAAACAACTTGGAAAATTGTTTGTTCTCAAGGAACTGGTGTATTGAAGCAGCAAACCTCCAGAGTAATGAAGACTGACACACTGCAGTGGAAGTTTTAGACATGCTTTTTGTTCCCTTCTCTGGCTGGGATAGTACTTACTGCTTGAATTAATGCTGGAATTATGTAATCGTGTTCCTTCATATTACTGGTCTGACAAAATCGTGAAAATGGGTTGGGGAAGTTGATTAAGATGAAACATGGGAATGGACTGAGTAGCTGATTTTTTTTGCCTCATATGGAGAAATATAGCTGGTTATTAGACATTTGTCCTGATCGTAACTACTAGAGAAGGAAATGTTACTATGCAGATAGCCCCAAAATTTTTTCATAAAAGCGTCTGTGCTTGATTGTGGCTTTAAAGCACTGAGTTTATCATCTCAGTAGTTCAGGCTCCAAAACATATCTGCTCTGTGCCAGCTTTTCTGAGTGATGAGCTTGTGTGTTGTGGGGTTAGAGCACAGAGATGCTGGGTCTGAAAAATGTTCCTGTGCCAGGCAGTGGCAGCTTGATATCTGTGGCAGTTGTTCTCTGGTGTGTGCTTTAGGGTGGAGCATTCTTGTGTGGACAGTTCGTGTGTCACCCTGTCCTTGGTGTAATTTATTTGGATATCCCTCTTCTGCTTTGGTTTCATCCCATTACCAGTTGTTATCTATGGGCATTCAAGTTACTCCCTTTTCTTGCTTCATGAATGTAAATTCGTATTCATGTCTGCTCTTATTTAAGTAAATCAGTCAGTTGCTCTAAAGAATTAGAAAATGAAGAACATGTAGTGGTTTGTATTTACTAGGAAAGGAGGGTAAAAATCAGAGAAAATCAAATGAAGTCAAAATAATAATAAGATAATGAGATATTCTTCTTTCCACTAATGGTTAGACATTAATGAACTCCTTGAACACTGCATTAAAATGTTCATATGCCATGGTACTGGAAAACAAGTTTCTGGTATGGATAGTGTATGAATATGAGCTCTGTGATGTATCAAACTGAGTCATAAGGTGAAATGACAGCTGTGTAGAAGTAAGTCGTACTCTGAGGGAACTGTGGCTCAATTCAACCAAGTATTAGTTAGGCTAAATAATTGTTGCTCATGCAGTGATTTAAGTGAAAAAATTGCCAACAAAACCAGAACTCAGCTTAGGCTTTCTCTGTGTACTGTACACTGAAGCTGAACCTTGTTGTGAAACTGCAATTTCAATGGCTCTCCTGCTAGAGGAAATTAGTATGAGATTAGAAGTCAAGATTGGCTTGGGGGTTGGAATTCACAGTTCTCCAGCTGAAGAGAAGCCATCCTTCAGCCAAGGCCAAGCTGGCTTTGTCAAGCTGAGTTTTGTCCTGCACCTCTTAGATTTAAGTTTTCATTTTCTATTAGAATTTTTGATTACCTATTATTAGGGCTACCTAATCTCTGTATAATACTGTTATGAATAACAAATTATGGTTTGATTCCTCTTTTTATCGGCATTATAGCACAAAATATTTGTTGTTTTACATTAAGCAGTTTGAAGATTTTGCATAAGTGCTCTTGTTGTTTCTCTTTCCACACTTTACCTATTTTTTGTGCAATTGTTTTAAAACCAAAACCGCTGTTTTCCTCCAGAGCGGACTTTGGTTGGTTAGTTAAAAAAATGCAGGACCATGAGCAGAAGTCTCTTAAGTACATTGGCACTCTAGAAGCACAGAGTGCCTTGTCTCTGTACCACAAACTTTGCACTCAAAGTAAGAGGGCCTAAATAATAAGGTATTGAAATACAGACATCTGGAAAAGAAGCTGGGGAAAAAAAGGCTAAGAAAGTGTTCACCTTATTTATTAGCTTATTTATATATTCTATATAAACATATGGAATATTGTATGTATAAATCTAGAAATATAAATAAAGTCTATATATGAGGGTTATCACCCTCACTGATAGCCAAGAGTGGTGACACAGCTAGCAGCCATATTCATGGCAAAGTGGTCGTTCACTTTTTTTTAATGTTTTCTAACTCACATTTTGAACGATAGCATTTCAGAAGCACTCAGTCAAGCACAGTAAAATACTGGCAGCCTTTACAGATGTCATCTCAGAACCCAGCCACTGTGCCAGCGACATTTTTGTGACTCTTGGAAGGGTCCTGAACTGTTTCTGTTCTGGTAGCACCCACTTCCACTGATTTTGTCCTGGTTTTTGTTTTGCCTTTTGTCCTGTCGACTTTATCATTCTTGAATAGTGCTTGTGAGCTCCCTTATGTGCACAGACCGAGACTTGACATCTTTGGATACAGGGTAGAGAGGATAATATATCAAATGCAAGTGTTAAAAGCAGATGTCTCATGGGGGTGGGGCATTTGCTCTGTAATTTGCAGCTTCAGGTGGCACTTGTCTCTTGGCCTGAGAGCTTTGCTTCAACATATTTGCACCAACCAACACCTCCCTCCAGCTCCGGATCGCTGGGGCGGGTCACGGCCTGATCCGGCGCGGGGACAGATGTAGTGTCCCCGGGTCGCCGCTGTCCCCCCGCGCAGCGCTTCTTCGGATAGGAGGGACGGGGCACGGCGGACTTGTCGCCAGGGGGCTGGGACTGGAGCCTCCTGCGGGGAAGGAGCTGGAAAAAACTGTCGTCGGCTCCGGGAGAGCCTTCTCCCGCCGGCGCCCCTTCCCCTCCGCTTCTGCTGTGCCGGCGCCTCTTTCAGCTCTCTTTGGAGCTGAGGATGGGCTGGGAAAAGCGAGCCTCTGTGCTAGGGAGGAAAGCGTTGCAGTCCCTGTGCGAACGAAACTCTCTGTCCCTGGGGTAAAATGAAAACATGACCGTAACGTAAAATGAAGCGCAGTTGGAAGGCAGGCACGTTCTCTAGCGCCCAGGGATGTCCACCTGGGAAGCGCTGATGAATGAACGGACCCACGCTTGCCATTCCCCGCTCTGAACTCTGCGCTTCGACGCGACGGGCCGGGAGTACCGGTAGGTCCATGGGCTGTGCTGGCTTCTGATCGCTCCGGCCGCAAGTGCTCATCCAGGCGGGCCGGCGAAGCGCCGGCGAGCCAAGGTGAGGGCTGCGAGGGGCGAGCTCCGGGGGTTCTCGGCCCGCACATCGTCCCTGGCCCAGGCTTGTCTTGCCACCTGAAGCCCTACGCGGCATGAAGAGGCGTCCCTGATCGGTGGCGGAGAACGGGGGGGAACAAAAGCTGTGCCCACTTCATCCGCCGTCCCTGAGGGACGGCTTTAGGGCGAAATTAGCAAGTGGGCTGTCTCTCAGCGCGTCCCAAAGGGGTAGAGCCTTGTGTGCAAAAGGGGTGGGGATGTGGCTCTTTCTCGCGGAGGTTTATTATTATTGGGTGGAGGAGGAGGGAGGGAGAGTCGGCCGAGAAGACAAAATGCGGGGACTTCCCCCGCCCGGCAAGCGTGTCTGTGCGGGAGGCGGGAGGAGGCGGCTCCTCGGAGACCGAGATAGAGAAGGGTGAGGGGGACAACCAAAGTGGAGAGGAATCAGTACCAGCCAGAGCATGCTCTCCACGCAACAGTTCCCTGCCCTGCCTGCGGAGGAGGAGCGCTACCGGCAGGTCCTCTCCGCCAGCCGGGTAAGGCGAGCCTGAGGGCGCTCCCCTCCGTGCGTGGGGCCGCCTGGGGACCACGGGGCCGGGGAATTGTGAGGGTGGCTGCTCCGCTGCTCGGCGACCCCTGAGCTGCGGGCGGGGGCAGCGCGCTCAGGGGACACTCCCGGCCGCCGCTGGTCCTGCGGGGAATCCCCGTGCGCGACGCACACCCTGCGCTGCCACGGCGTGGTTGAGCGGCAGGTTCCTCGGGCAAGAGAAGGGCGACCCGAGCCCGCCAATCTGTCGTAGCGAGAGCGGACCTGTGGCTCGCAGGCAGGGACGATGCCCTGCCCCGGGTGGCGCTGCCCGGGGGACGGCCGGGGACAGCGACCGCCCGCGGCCAACCTGCCGCGATGGGGCCGTCCCGGAGCGCTCCAGTGCCGAAACTTGCGCGGCTGTGCGGGGCCGCGTTCAGAGGCGCGGGTTGCAGGTGAGCCGCTCGTTGTTAGCGTCTCATGGAGAGCCGAGAGGCGCCCTCTCCCCAGTTCTTTCACGAAGTCAGCGGGGATGATCAAGGGGGTTGATGTGCCTGTTAATTGCTCTGCTGCTGGAAGGACTGCGGAGGAGGTGGCCGAACCCGAGGGCAACAGGTCCGGCTAGGATTTGCAGGAGCAAAATTTGGATTTAGCCTCTGACAAGACGGTCATGGCAACCTCCATCGGAGACCGCGCTCCCGGAGAGCCGATGCACCGTGACCCCGGCGCGGTAGTTGCCCCCCTCTCAGGAACGGGAGCTGACTTTACCCTTGCGTCGGTGCAGCCTGGGGTCGAGTGGAGGAACACCTTCCCCTCCTCTCGCCCCCTGCTACGGCTGTCTGGCGGGATGGTACCGCTGGCCGCAACCACCCACAAGGGGAGGTCATCCCATGAAGCAGTTAATCCTTGCAGGGAGAATCAGCACACTTGTGTAGTTGGAAGTGTCCGAAGGGGATAGCGCGGGCGTTGGCAGTGTCCCAGCACGCTCCTGGAGGAGGGACGAGGGGGCGAAGGAGCTTTCTTTGGCCGCCTTTGTGGGAGAGGCGGCTGACGCGCTAGTGCGAACCTGCAGGGTCAGGCCCTCCAGCCTGCCCGTCCCTCCGCTACCCGGGGCGCAGGTTGTCCCCCGGTGTCCCCGGTGCGGGTGGCGCTGACAGAGGAGCAGGCACGGCGGGGACCGCAGGTGGAGAACGGGGCCAGGGGCAGCGTTCCCCGTGACAGTGCCGGTGTGAAGCCCGCGGCTAGCGAGCGGGAGCGTCCGCCGGCAGGGCTGGTGTCATCTCTCTCCGCCGGCAGGGCTGGCATCCCTTTCCGCCGCCGGCCAGGACCGGCAAGGGGGAGCACAGGAGTGCTCAGCCTGATGCGTGGCACTTGCGGAGAGGGCGTCGGAGCCTCCTGTGCTGTCACAGCGATCGTGCGCGATCGAAATGGCACTGCAGCTTGTTTCACAAGTTTGTAAATACGGCGGTATACTTTAGTAGTATCGTTAATCCACTTGATTTAAAATGCAGAATCTTTGGACGCATTTCATGGCAGGCGATTAATTACTTAACCTTTATTTTAAATTATTAGAAGTCTGACTGAGATGGTGAAACTCTTAAGTGAAATCAAATATCTAGAGCTTTTAATGCATTCACGGGGTCTCTTGTGAAGTTTTAGCTTTCAGCAGTAAGAATATGGTAGTAGATTTTTCCATATGGCCACTTACACACTCCCTGTGTTCCTAAAAGATGGATCACTCAGCAGGATTAAACTTTTAGTTTGTTTTTATAATGAATGCCGTAGTTGGAGATCTCTGTTATAACCTTCTCAGGTATTGTGACACAGACAGCTATGAATTAGTGTCACTGAGATAATCCAAGCAATTATAATCCAAGCAACTGTAATAATACAGGGAATTAAAGAACCATTCTGCTTCTGTGTCTCTGTAAAAGCTGGTGACATCTCCAGAGCATCTTGGACATCAAGGTTTTTCAGGAAGCTGAGGCCTCCTCCAGGTGAACAAAGAAATCCTAAACAATGTTCAAGCCTCCTTTAGATAGCGAATGCCTATGACTTTTCTTCTCTCCTCTGTTTATGGAGTACCCCAATAGGCAGATGGGTTCTCTCAGGTTCTGGCTGTGGGGAAGCCCGGCCCTTCCACCCTGCATGTAATCCTCATTTAGCATGCATTTTCAAGGAAGCTACCAGCACTCATTTTCCTGAGAAGGCTCTCATGGTGGTGAGCCAGGCAGCCCAGCTCACTTGCCCAGATTAGGATAGTCTGCTTGTGCACTTAGTGTCTCATGGGACCATCAGGACGAAATACTGTTTTTCCTGTCTTTTGGAGCTGTAACTATAAAATACTGAACAAAACTTTCACTTCTTCTCCAGAAGTCTTTGCTGGCACTTGACAGTCTGTAGATAATTTGAGTGTTCAGTGAATCAAAAGTACTGTTTGAAATGTGTCATGATTGGAGGTGTTCTATAAAATGCGCAATGCACACAGGGCAATTTAATGTATCTGTATTATTGGTTGACTATTAGTTATGTATTAGATGATGTCTGCAGATACAAATGAAAGCCAGGACTGTTTGTAGTGCCAATAATTACTTAAAAATGCAGGCTTACTTGAATGCAGGAGTTGCTTTTGTGTTGCCTTTTTTTTTTTTCTGCTAAGCTTATATACATATTTAGGTCTTAGCACTCAGCTCCCTTGAGGAACATTACTATTACTGTCCTGCCATTATAATAAGTCCATGTATTGCCAGACACATAGTTTCTTGTGTGGCCATACAAGGAGCGAGTGCAGAGGCTGAGGTGGATAAGCACCTAGGCAGAAATCTCATTTGTCTGGAGGAGAACGGTCCTTCCTAGAGAAGGTGGGAACAGGCAAGGGAATGTTGGAATAATTATACTGGGCAAAAAAGCCAAGCGGCTCCTGCTCTCACCGCTACTCAACTACTCCAACCAACAAATACTGAACTCTGAACGTACTCTTCAGACACAAGCAGGAAGACAGTGCTTCAATCGGTATGTCTCAGTGGCTGTTTGAGCTCTGTGAGTGTTTGCCATGCTGAGGCCCAGCAAACTGAGGTCATTCCAGTCCAGTAGGCACAATACAAGCACTATAGACGCTTCTTTAAGAGGTGGGAACTGTGGCTTTGCCCCCACCTGGACCAGGAGACCCTGGATACCAGGTATCTACTTCCAGGCTGAAGATCACTTGCTGTTAGGCAGTTACATGCAGTGGCACTCCTGGTCGGGTCTGGTCAGGTTTTAAAAGATGGTGGCTATGGCTACATTGTGTGGGAAGAGTTTGAATCCTGTCAGCGTGTCAGGTATCCTCAGCAAGTGCTTACAAGGCCAGATGAATGTCTTGTTTCTGAATGCCAGCCAGGGTTTGGCAGGGGTGGATGTTGGGCCACTTGCAGCAGAGCAGTTTTAGACTTGCACATGCAGCCTAGGTCCGTCCAACTGTGGCTGCCAGACCCCTTCCTGATTTTTAAATGCCTTCAGGATGAAGCAACTAAGTAAGCAGCAGGGCTTGAGAGGGACAGTCTGATTACAGTTTGAAATTTTCATGTTTGTAGTCTGTTCCAGTTTCTTTCCTTATAGAAAAGAAATGGACCATATAAATGGCAAGCTGGGTACATATGGTTCTCCACCGCAGGAGAGAAAGGTGGATAATAACCCCTTGTGAAATGACGGATTGTCACAAAAGGACAAGGAAAGCTCGTTGTAAAGGTCTTCACGCACAGAACTGCCTCTGAAGACAGTATCCAATCTGCTCCAGCCTGACTACTCTCATTGGCTCTGAATTTTTAATTCTAGTGGCCCTCCACAGTCTCATCCAGAACTGTACTGAGCCTCAGTCTGAGTGGCAGGGCATAAGAGCCACCCAGCAAGTGCTGGGATCTGTAACTGGGGTTGTTACTAGGTGTGTGAGGTGGATCCTCACTTCCCGAGAGGCTGCATGAGGAAAAATGTGGGGAAGAAAGGAAAGGAGGAGCGCCTGGGCCTTGCCGGGGTGGCTCACCTCCTTGGCTCTCGTGGCAGCCCCCGTGTCCAGGCACGGCCCCTCTCCCCGGCCGTGCGGGGCGGGCGGGGGCGCGGGTCAGGCCGGGTAGTCCTGGGGCTTCCCCGCCGCACACACCCGCCTTGCCCGGCTCTGCTGAGGGGCGAGGGGGGGCTGCTTCGCGGGGGCCTGTCCCAGTCCGCAGCCCCGCGGCAGAAGAATACGATGCCGATCGCATCCCTTCCCTCAGTCCTCCGCCCTCTATAAATAACTCTGGCTGGGCTGACCTGTCAGATTCCCCCGGCAGAGCGGATCCCCTGACCCTGGCCGCCTGCACTGGAAAGTCTGAATGCAAAACATGCCGTAGTAAAAATAGAGCGGCCGGGGAGCCCCGCCGACAGGTCCCAGCGGCTCCCGGTGCCGCCCCGGCCCTCGCCGCCCCCCTGGAGCTCCTGGCTCCCGTCAGCGCTGAGAGCTCCCCCCTGCTCCCAGATCCATGTGCGCTTTTGTGCCCCAGTGGTGAGAATGCTTTTCTCGCTGTCAGATGGAAGTTTCGTTTCTGCTGTGGAACAGATAGTTCTCTTCCAGGTAGCATTTTTAATTTCGGCTTGTCTTTCTAATCAGCAAACATGAAAGAAATGGGGATAATGGCTTAATATCCTAAATGTAAAAATAATAATGAGACGACTGTCAAGCAAGAGCTTGTCTTTTCAAAAAGAGATGAGAATGTCACTATTTCTGAAGTCTGAATTAGATTCTGTCCTTGCCCACCTTGTGCAGACAACTGTTCCCCTGGAGGGATAGGGTCTCCTTGGCTGTATAAATTATAAGCCATTATAATTTAAAGCAATGCTTGCAATTAATTTGTGCATTATGCTGTTATTTCTGGTTGTTTTACCTGTGAAATCTGAATATCTGGAGGTTAAAGACAGAAAGTGCTGTCTGACTGCTGCTATGCCTTCTCCTTCAGATGCATCCATGTCACAGTTCTTGGCCCTCAGTGCCTGCTGGAG